GGGTTAACGAGAAAGCCGCTTTTTTTGGTGCCGGTGATGCGGGTAAATCAGTTCCTGGGCTGGTGCTGGGTCACGTGTGGGAAAATGGGATGCTGAAAGAGGGTCTCCTGCTCCGGAGGAGATGCTGCTCCCGGCTCTGTCACTGGCTCTGGATAAGGCACAGCTTCACGTTGCCCTTTCTCTAGGGAGGGCCGGCGCTTTCCCCTGGGGACAGCCAGGGAGGACAGAGGGGGTCCATCAGTGCTGGTGAGGGGTGGGAGATCCTCTGGAAGGACAGGGGAAGCTCAAAAGCACGGGGAGATGCTGCGCCCCGCTGTTTCAAGGCACTTGTCCTTTGGGCATGTCCATCCGCAGTGTCCCCAGGCACCGTACGTGAGTCTGGTTGTTGGAAATGACTTCATGAGGAGTTGTCCGTCCAGTCTTTGCTTCCAGGTTTGTATGGATGGATCCATTATAAAATGTGACGCAAATGTTTTCTCCGCCTTCCTGCCCCATCCTTTAGGATTTTTAGATGTGCCCTGATGCCGCAGGGTCTCCCCGCTCCTGGAAATGCAGCTCTCTTCCAGTGTGGCTGAACTCAGTTGTGACGAGACGATGGACCCACCGGCTGAGGACTTCCAGCAGGTCCTGTCCATTGACCAAATCCGCTCCATCCGTGCCAGCAACAACTACGTGGAGAGGCCAGCTGCCTGCTTCCAGCAAACCCGCTCCAACCCATCCCTGTCCCAGCCCCCGCACAAGCAAGAGTGGTCCCAGGACCGCCTGGCGTCTTCCACCTTCCAGGACCTGCACCGCAGCCACAGCCAACAGCACCAGATGCCACCGTCGCAGCAACACATGAGCCATTCCAGCACGGCCAGCTCCGTCTCCCAAAGCACCACCGCCTCCGACCAGCGCCTCCTGAGCAGCCTCACGCCTTCCCACTCCGGGCACTCCCTCATCCGGACGCAACCCCGGGCCGGCGAGCTGAAAGCGGAGGAATCGCCGCTGAAAGGGGTGGCGGAGAAGCCCACCCTCCACACCGGCCACCTCTTCATCTGCGAGGAGTGCGGGCGATGCAAGTGCGCCCGCTGCACGGCCGCCCGCAGCCTGCCCTCCTGCTGGCTCTGCAACCAGCGCTGCCTCTGCTCCCCCGAGAGCCTCCTCGACTACGGGACTTGCCTCTGCTGCGTCAAGGGTCTCTTCTACCACTGCTCCACCGACGACGAGGACACCTGCGCCGACGAGCCCCGCTCCTGCGGGCAGGGGCGCTGCTGCGCCGGGCTGCCATGAGCTTCCTCTCCCTCCTCATGCCCTGCCTCTGCTGCTACTTTCCCACCCTGGGGTGCCTCAAACTGTGCCAGCGGGGTTACGACGGCCTGAAACGACCCGGCTGCCGCTGCCAGAGCCACACCAACACGGTCTGCAGGAAGATCTCCTCCTCCAGCGGCACGCCTTTCCCCAAAACGCTGGATAAGCCGGTATGACCCTCCCGGGGAGGAGAAGCAGGCTTTACTCCTCTTCCTCCTCATCCTCTCCCCTCCATCCTCCTCCTCCTTCGGCTCCCTCCGCTCTGCAACGCTCTCCTCCCCCTGCCCACCATCACCTCCTGGGAACGAGACGGGTGAACCGGGGGGGTCCTTCGGCCTCCGGGAGCACGAGGGCGGCTGGGTGGCCGGGGGAGCTGGCACCAGGCTGGTGGGGAACGGTGGGTTTGCACAGGCGAGTGAGGGACCGGGAGAGGGGGAGAGAGCTGCGGGTGCCCTCCTCGGCCGTCCCCTCGTGGTGAAGGGTGACCCGGGGGGTCCTTGGGACTCTTCTCTCGGGAGCTGCTGCTGCCCCGTGGTGTGGTCCTTCCCGATGGGGAGAAGAGGGAGGTCAACGCATCCCCTGTGCAAGAGTCCTGCAGGAGCCAGACCTCCCTCTCTCTCTCTCTCTCTCTCCAGCACTTTTTATGTGTGGCTTCTCCCCTCCCACGTGGCCGTAGGTCCGCTTTCCCCAAGGGGCTGGGGTGCCACGGGGTCCCACCGGTGGTGGTGGCTTCCCTCTGGGCTTGGGAGCCGCTGGGAGAAGCAGGCGAGCTTCAAAATGAGGTGGCATCGTATTTTTTTTCTGTCTCAAAGAGGAAGAGAAGGTGTGGGAAGCTTTAGAAACCTTCTGGCAGGGGAAGGAGGTATCGGAGGCAGCCCAGCCCACTCGCTTCTGCCCGACTGCAGCGAGGGAAAGGTCCCCTCTGGGATTTGGCTGAGAACAAGAAGCTGGTTTGAAATTGCCATTCATTTCTCAATGCCTCGAAGGGCGGCCTGCGGAGCGCAAACCCTGGCGGGACGGGAGCTGCCGCCCAGCTCCATCCCACCACCGATAGCAGATGCCGCAGGCACCGGCTCTGTCCTCGAGCCCCGAGAGCCCTGATCTGGTACCTTCCACCAGCACTGGATTCACTTTAAAAAAAAAAAATATAGAAAAATACCCCAAACCCAGCTGTCAACAGCTGCCCCCCGCGCTGCGCTTGGGTTAGCACCCATCCTGGGGGGTCCCCGGAGGGGACTTCTGCAGCTCCTGCCTTGGGCTGGAGGGAAACAGAGAGCAGAAGGGGGTGTGGGAAGACCTTCCCTCCCTGCAGAAGTTGCCTTTGAGTCCTCACCTCGCTTTCCTCGGCCCACTGGCGTGTCACACCCACACCAGCGGCACTGCTGAAGGGTATTGTGCAACGGCGGCTGCCCTGCGGCAAACTGGAGATGGGTCTGAACCAAGCCCTGGGGCCGGGCCATCTATAGACCAGGAGGAAACCTGGCTCGGGGTCAGGGCTTCGTGGTTTCCTTGCTGCGATGAGCGTGAGCCCAACCCGTCGCTGCAGTTGTTGGGAGCTCCTCCTGGTCCTGGACTCAGCCCCATCTCCGCTTGCAGACGCGGGATGCCATCCCTCAGCTGTGACCCTGCTGACATCGGCCGATCGGTTCGGGGGAGTTTGGAACCGGGATGATGTCCCGGTGCTCAGCTCTGCCCGCCTGTCCCCGCTCCGAGCTGCGTGAGGGCAGGGGGGAAGCGGATGGTTCCCCTGGAGAAACATATGCAACGTGTCCCCTGGCTTCCTCCAAGACCCGGCCATGCAGGGCTCGTCCCTCGCCTTCCCTCAGCCGCCTCTTTACGTAGAGTTCTGTGGATCTATTTTTGTATATATAAATATAACGATAGGACGGCTAGGTCTATTACTAATAATATTCATGATACTGCTGTGAACGGTGCCAGATGCGAGGTTTGGCTTCCTGGTACACTTGCACATGCTGGAAGATGATTTCCCCGTCTGTTTATTGCTAATCCTAGAGCTTTAGTTCCTAGGTAGTCGGGAGAGGGGGAGAGGGAGGTTGGCAGATTGTGCCTGGCGGGGGGATGTCGGCTTTGCAGAGAGAGGGTAGGATTTAGCGCTGGCTGTGGGGTGAGGCGGGAGGTAGAGGCTCACGATGGGATTCCTCCTTCTGTACATTTGCTACCTAAAAATGGCGGCTGCTCCGAGCTCCCTCTGTTGCAGAGAAAAGCGGTTCCAGGGAGTGATTCATCCCGCCCGAAAACATTATTCGTTAAGTCGTGTTCTGGCAGCGCCGGTCTCCCTTGACCCAAATGGGACCCAAGCGCTGAACTCGCGGCTCCCTGTTGGAAGGGAAGATGAATCCCATCCCTAGTGGGAGGTTTGTGCCTGGGGCGTGTTACGGACACGACCGAGATCCTCTCCCCGATTTCACCCAGAGCCTGAGAGGGGATGTTGAGAGACGCTTCCTCTGGCCCAAGATGGAGAGCCCACTTCCACAGGCTGTGGGGAATTCGGGACGATGCTCTGGGTTATGGTGAAGATCTCCTGGCATTAAGAAGGGAGAGGGCCACCTCTGTGAGGTTTGCACAACCTGAGGCCAACCCTGGGCTCCGAAATCCTTTGGGTTTCAAGGCGGTGACCTTCTCCGAGGATGCCCTGTAGGTGTGTGTGCCCCCGTAAGAGCAGTCCGTGTCTCTGTAGCAGCAGTTATGAAATATATTGCAAACATCTTTATCCATCTGCCAATAATCGCTTGGCTCCCTACTTCCAAGCGATGTTTGGGGCAGAGACTTCCACCACGAGGCACCCTCCCTTTGGAACGCTCGGTTCCCTTTTCTATTGGTGCTAATTAATCTCCTTCTTCCTAAAAAAAATGTAAAACTTTTTTTTAGGGGAAAAAAGGTCCCCTTTTCACTGAGGATGTGAGGAGCTGTCTCACTTGAATGAGAATGCGGAATAGTTCATTGAAACTTTTTAAAGAAAACTAATGAACAGAATTTTCCAACTTGCTCTACTTTGATTTCTTTCTTTTTTTTTTTTCTCCTCCTTTTTAAACGGATCCCACTTGTAAATTTAGTTACCACCTCTGTATCTTTGCAATTCATTGCTTCCTCTCCTGATGGTGGAATGACTCAACATGTGAAGCTTCATCATTTTCACGGCCTCCGAAGTCATGCAAGCAACGGGGTGACCTCCCCCAGGTGCTGGAGCTGTTGGATGAGAAGATGGCTGTCCACATGGCAGCTCCCCAGAGCCGGTTTTGCTCGGCGTTAGCCCGGCGAGGCGGAGCCCTGCACTACGATTGCAGCATATTTACCTTCGCTAATTGGTAGGAGGCCAGGACGCCCGCCAGTAGCCTTCTACCTAATGGGATTTTTTCTGGGTCAATGCAGAAGTCCCATTTCTACCAGGGAATGGTGCCACAGCCTTGGGGTGCAGGGCTGAGGAGTCCGGCCAGGTCTCCTGAATGTCTCATCTCCAAGAAAGGGCAAACCCCTGAGATATATTGTATGAAATACGGGGTGCGTAGGAAGGAACTGGAGAGGAGGAGAGCCCCTCCGTAGGGAGGAATTGGAGAGCCCCGGGTGGGCTTTGGTTTCACGGTGCTGAGGACAAAATGCAGAGCCACATCTTGCAGTCGTACGGGCTAGAGAAGTTCAGAGCTGTTGGTCCCTCCCCTGCTCGTAGGGGCAGGTGGCTTCAGGTGGGCTTACTGCTTCCTGCTCCATCTTGGGGGGCCTCAGAGAGGTCCCATTCTGTGCTCTCAGCAGAAAGGACAGGTTGGGATTTGCCAAGAGCTCCCCAGGGAGGCCAGCTCTGGTTCACGGAGCTCAGCTGCTCTCAGGAAGGCTGTGGGTAGCATCTGATGGTGGTTTTTTTTTTTTTTCCCTGAGCTTTTCCTAACATCTTCAGACCAGATCCATCCTGCTCCCTCCCCATCTCCAGCTGCCAGATAGTTTGGTTTCCCTGCAGAGAGGACTCCAATTTTGGTTGGGGTTGTGAGCCCCTTTCCTGCCGCGCCCTGTAATGAGTCAGATAACATCTGCTCCAGATGTTTGTCTGCAGCTGCTTGTCCTGGCAGTTTGGGTTTCTCTCTGTCCTGACGTGTCTTTTTTGGTTTTCTTTTGGGAGAGTCACATGTTGAGTCCTCTGTTTTCCCTGCGCCCCTGTGATTTGACAAGGATGGATCCGCTTTGCGAGGGAACATTTCTCGGGGTTGTGTGTCTCTGCCGGTCGTGGGCTCCTTTGCCAGGAAACGTGCAGGGCTGTAGGGCAGATTTCACCAGGGAACGAGAGACTCAGGTGCCAAAGGAGCAGGAGGCAGGAGCTGCTGAGCAGGACCTGAGCTGCCCCTGCTCTGCTCCCCATGCAGGAGCCTCTTGTTCCCACCCAGACCTCCAAAGCTCCATCCATGCACAACCTCCTGCTGGTGCTTGCTTTCTCCAAGCCTTCCCTTGGTCCCGTTCCCCACCTTCCTGATGGGCAAACGTGTGATCAGTCCCAGCACTGGTGAGGAGGGGTCATTGAGGACCAAGGTGGAGTCTCCCTCCCATCCCAGCTCCCCAACCCTCCTGGTGGAAGAGCAGAAGTGGTCCTTGGGCTGCTGTTCACCCATCCCTGAGAAACATCAGTGCCAGCCAAGTACCTCAAAGAGTAGGGGGGAAGCTTTGTGGGACTCTACTCTCATATTCCCATAAAATCCCACTGAGTTCGCTCTTCCCTGTCCCCGTGTGTGAACCCAAAGACTGGCGGGCAAGTGTCATCGACCAAAAGATGCCAAAGCACGGAATAACGGTTTACGAGCGGCTGCTTTAGTGCAATAAAGAGGGATGAGCGGAAGGGTGGGAGGAGCTGCTGCGAGGTTTGCACGACTGGACTGCGCAGGGAGGGAGCACACCATGCCCCAAATTTGCTGTTTCCAGCACCCGCTTTGTTAGTTCCCTCTCTGTCTCTGGTCCTTGGGTGTTTTGAGGCTGGAGAAAGCTAGGAGGTCTTCAGATATTGGAAGGTCCAACTTTTTGGGACAGGGGTCCAACTTTTTGGGAGGGGCAGCAGTGGGAGGTGTCTCGCTGGGTCTCTCCTTCCTGCGGCACCCCAAAGGGCTTCAGCATGAGCAGGACCAAACCCGCCCTGGTGAGCTGGCCTTGGTAGCATTGGTGTGTGGTCATCCTGGCCGGT